ATTCTTAGCATTGAGATCGAGTTACAAGACCGAAAGTTACTTTAGTTACTTTTTCACTTTAATTCAGAAATTTCGATGAAAATAAATAGTCATTTTGTGTCGTCATAAACGTCAACATGCGGGTTTGCATGATGAGCACGGGAGATTACTTCATAATAATATTGATTGGCATAGAGTTTTTTTTTGAGAAATTTCCCGTGAAAATTTATTCACAGACTTGTGTTCTAGGCAGTGAACTTTTGAATGATGACTATTTTCCCCACTGTTAACAATGTGAGCTTATCATGAATATGTTTAATTAATACTGAGTTATTCAAATAAAGGTTCTGGTGTCTACATTTTATATTTTGTTGTGATGTTTTGTTGTACCATCATAAATTGTACATTTTGTGGAGCAGACTGCCTAATTTGATGTCATGAAATTACACACAAAATTAGAGCTCAGGTTGCACCAGCAAACACCATTTTCAGCATGCTGTTCTTGTTTTCGGCGGACGACAGAGGGGACACCTCCCTCTCCTTCTCTCTTCCCCGTTGTGCTCGGTCGCGGGAAAATGCTCCGCAGTTTCCAGACAAAGTTTACTAATACTTTTTTTTCTTGATTAGTAAATTTACTATTACCTAGCAAATTCCAGAGAGAGCCCAGATTACCTAGTTAAAGCTTGATAACATCTCAGTTTGTATTTGTTAGTCTACGCAACAATCAAAGTCGCCATCTTTGTTCAAGGAAGACCCATATCTTGGGCATGCGTGGTGCCACCCATAACCCAAAATTCCATCCCCCACCCCCAATTTAAATGTACATACTCCTCCAGATAACATTCCTGAAAAGGGACACGTACAATTCAATCATATAGCTGAAGGGTTAGAATTAGGGTTAGGGGCGAAGGGACTTTATGGAATTCTTACCAGTAACACCACAGTGTCATTATCGTTATATCTCACTGATGTCAGCTATTTACTGCAATTCTGGCTGGCTGAATAAAAATGAATAATCCACCATGATTTGTATAATAACTTGTTTCTACGACCCAAAGTTGCTCAGTTTTAAAAAGCTCGATTTATCTCAACATGGCTTTTCAGATGAAAAAATTGATTATCGTCATTGCAACAGAAGGTAAT